TCAAGTCCTTTACCAGTCCAATGGCTTCATCTTCATGTTCCTGTCTCCCAGAAAGAATGTTAGTTTCATCAAACACTACATGCACACTTTCTTCTACACATAAAGTTCTTTTATTGAACTACTTTATATGCTTTTCTATGTGAAGAATATCCCAAGACTACTCCCTCATCACTTCTGGGATCAAACTTACCTAGGGAGTCCTTTCCATTATTGTGCACAAAGCACTTACATCCAAATGCCCTAAGATGGGATATATTAGGTTTTCTCCCTTAAAGTAACTCATAGGTAGTCTTCTCTATAAGAGGTCTAGTCATGCATCTATTGATAATGTAACATGCAGTGTTTACAGCCTCTGCCCAGAAGCTATGGGGCAGCTTACTAGAAAGAAGCATAGTCCTAGCCATGTCTTCAAGAGTCTTGTTCTTTCTTTCAACTACTCCATTTTGTTGAGGAGTCCTAGGGGCAGAGAAATTATGATCTATACCATTTTCATCACAGAATTCAGCAAACTTAGAATTTTCAAATTCAGTTCCATGATCAGACCTAATGGATGCAAGTTGATTTCCTAATTGTTTCTGAGTTTTTCTAACAAATGTAGTAAACATGTCAAATGCTTCATCTTTAGAAGTTAGAAATAGAACCCAGGTAAATCTAGAATAATCATCAACAAGCACCATTACATATTTCTTTCCACCTCTGCTCATAGTTCTCATTGGTCCACAGAGATCCATATGGACCAGTTCCAACGACTTGGTTGTGCTTACCATTTTCTTGCTTTTGAAGGATGACCTTACCTGCTTCCCCCTTGCACATGCCTCACAAACTTTGTCTTCCTTGAACTTGATGTTGGGTAACCCTATCACCAAGTCCTTGGAGACTAATTTGTTTAACTGATTCAGACTGGCATGACCAAGTCTTTTGTGCCATAGGAGGGGATCATTATCCAGCACACTTAGGCAGGTTAGTTCATTTTCAGAAAGAGTTGACAAATCTACAATATAAATATTGTTAACTCTTTTTCCCTGCAAAACAATCTTGTCAGTGGTAAGGTTAATCACAAAGCATTTAGTAGAGGTGAATGCTACAAGGTTACCTCTGTCACACAGTTGTGACACACTGATCAGGCTCTATTTCAAACCATCTATCAAGTATACATTCTCAATGGAGTGAGAGTCTGTCTTTCCTACCTTTCCAACCCCAATAATCTCACCTTTCTTCCCATTTCCAAAGGAGACATTACCTCCCTTTAGGTCCTCAAGTGAAAGGAACTAATTCTTGCTTCCAGTCATGTGTTTTGAGCAGCCACTATCCATGTACCATATTTGGCTACTTCCCTTCACTTGGACCTGCAAAAAAGAATCAGGGGTTAGTCTTAGGAACCCAAACTAGTTTGGGTCCCTTTCTATAGGCAAAGGGATAAATCAGATTCCTTCTAGCCCACCCAGGCAGCCTATTTTTTTCTTGAACAAAAGTTTTGTTCTTTTGACTGGCCTTTTCTTTTGCATTACATTCATTTTTGTAATGGCCAGTCTTGCCACAGTGTGTGCAGATTTTGTTCTCAGGAAGAGTGAGGTACTTGCTTTTAGGATCCCACTTAGGTGCTTGTGTCCCATAACACGGTCCTATTTTGTTGCTACTGTGATGTTCATGTAACCAAGAGAGTGCATCAGAAGCCTTGTTCCATTTACAAGTTCTGTCTAGTTCATGTTTTACCTTCCCTAGATCTTCTTTTAGTACTCTTATCTGCTCATCCTTTCTGTACAACTCTTCCTTCATTTTTCCTAAGTTTTCTTCTAGGGTGAGATGTGTGTGATCGGCTTTCTTCTTTCCTGTTCCTAATTTCGGTTTTAAGTTCTCAAACCTAAGTTCTAGGACACTAGTGTCAAGTTCAAGAACCTGGTTCTTCAACTCAGCATTTTTACTTTCACTCTCATTAGCCCTAGACTCTAGATTTTTGCACCTGGCTTTTAAGATCACACATTCCCTAGACAGTTCTTCCTTCTCATTGTTAATTATCTCAGACTCATCAATGAAGTCTAGGAGTAGCTCAGACAGCCTTTCTTTAGACAGGATTTTAATCTTGTCCTTGAGATGAAGAATACTTACCTCTTGTTCATCATCTGATTCTCCAATGGCCATAACGCTTGTTCATCTCCAGCTTCATCTTCTGAGTCCTCGTCTGATATTTCTCCCCAGGAAGCAACCATAGCCTTTGTTGTTCCTTTGTTTCTTTTTGGTTGAACCTGTTCCTTCTTCCTTTTCCTTCGTTCAACCCTTTCCTTTTCCACTCAATTTCCCATTGAGGACAATTCTTGATCATGTGATCAGTCTTGCCACACTTGTAGCAACCCTCATTGGTCTGTTTCTCAGGATCCCTTGGTTTGTTGAAGGTTGTGCCTCTTGAAGATCCTTTTCCTCTCATCAGGTACCTTTTGAAATCTCTTGTGATCATAGCCATTTCATCATCCTCCAGATTTGAACCTTCAGCAATTCTGAGAGCCAAACTCCTTTCCTTCTTGGGTGCATCCATTTTCATGGTTTGCCTTCTTAGTTCATAGGCAGTAAGGTTTCCAATTATTTCATCCAGCTTGAGAGTAGCAATATTCTTTGATTCCTAGATAGCAGTAATTTTGCTTTCCCAAGAGACTGGCAGAACCCTTGTTAAAATCTTCTCAACTTTGTCTTCTTCAAGGATAATCCTTCCAAGAGACTTAAGTTCATTTGTCAGTGTGGTGAACCTTGTATACATCTCTTGGATGGTTTCTCCTTCCTTCATGGTGAAATTCTCATATTGAGAATACAGCAGTGTTCCTCTGGATCTCTTCACTTGAGGTGTTCCTTCATGAGCCACTTGCAAAGTATCCCAGATTTCCTTAGCAGTGGTACAACTTTGAATTCTACTGTACTCATCTGGACCTAGTCCACACACAAGCCATTTCTTGGCCTTGGCATTTTTCTCCCACTCCTTCAGGTCTTCAGCATCAGCTCTTGTCTTTGGCACATCAACTCCTTCAGCATTCTTCTTTGTGGTTGCTAGGGGACCATCAGTGACTATGTCCCAGAGTTCATAGTCTTCCCCTATGATGTGATCCCTCATCCTGTTCTTCCACCAAGAATAGTACTGACCATTGAAGAGTGGAGGCCTAGCAGTGGACTGCCCTTCCCAGTTCCCAGGTGGTGCACTCATGTTGATCTTTTCCTAAGGTGTAAGCCTCTTCAAGGATAACCCGCTCTGATACCAATTGATGTTTTATACGTCAATACCACACAAGAGGGGGAGTGATTTGTGTGGTACCTAATTTTGCGCTCTAGAAGAACCTGGTTCTTCTAGGTATACTAACTCTACTGTTTGCGGAATAATAAGTACATAAAATAAAGAACGCGGAGATTTTTATGTGGAAAACACCTGGCTCAAAAGGTGAAAAAAACCACGACCTACTACTCAGTAGCATTTTCCCAAACTTCCACTAAAATCACTGAGCCAAAACAACATTTACAAAACTCTTTGTAAACCTAAGGATTAACTCTAATCCCGTTGTAGCACACAGCCTCAACTGTTGCGACAACTTCAAGTTAGCATATAACTTGAACACTCTAAGTACCTAATACAATTGCTTCTATGAAAGCTGAAAGGTACAAGTTTAAATCACCTACTACATTTGAACTAGAAATAAAGAAAGACACAATGGAATTGGTTCTTCTATCTCGTTCAAGTAGCTTCAAGAATGCACACTCAAATCTTCGCATAAATTGCTTGCAAAATTGCCTCGCTCTTTTGCTCTCAATTTAGTGTTACTTCTGCGTTTGTGCAATACCTGTAAAAGAGAACAATCACTGTTATTTAATGAGTTAGTAATTAGAGTTTGATTAAGACTCAATTACTTATCTTCTATCGAGGTTGAGTCCTTAAACAACACAAACTCCAACACTATCTTTTATCCAGATTGTGTTCTCTTCAAATAAGGAGAATTTCTCCCCTTATCCAATATGTAACCTTTTCGATCAGATTCAGGAGATATTGCTTCTTGATCAATGAGACTATCTCCTTCACGTGCATCTCACATGCGTAGATTGATCATCACTGTGCTTCACATGATGGACCTGGTCCACGACTGAGTTCCTTTGTCATTCTTCAAAACTTCACCTGTTCTTGGGCCAACAGGAACGATCGGCCATTTGCAACCTCATACTTGTGGGCTTCGGCATACCTAACCCCGCTTTCTTATAGATGGCAAGAGGCATTAAGTTGATGCTAGCCCCATTATCACAAAGGGCTCTTGCAAAATCACGTGCCCAATAGTACATAGAATGGTGAAGGCTCCCGGATCTTGTTTCTTTTGGACGGTAGATGTTGCAATGATAGAACTAACCCAGTGAGTCATGTTTACCACTTCATTCTTGGTGGTTCTCTTCTTTGTGATCAAATCTTTCAAATATTTAGCAAACCTCGACATCTCTTGAAATGCTTCCACAAATGGAATATTCACCGATAATTGCTTGAGAATGTCGTAGAACTTTTCGAGTTTGCTATCATCAATTTTCCTCAAAAGTCTTTGAGGTAATGGAGGAGGAGGTCTAGGAATAGGTGGAAGAGTTTTTGGTATCTCTTCTACCTTTTCCTTTACCTCTTCCCGGTTCTCTTTTTGCACTTGCAAATCTTCCAGAATCTTTTCAACTTCGACAACACTTGGCTCTTCAACCTCAACCCCTTGTTAGGACTCATCTACTTCAATCACTTGTTCACTCTCTCCTTGTAGTACCTTCCCACTCCGAGTAGTAATTGCCATGATGTGAGAAGTTGGACCACTCCCCCTACCCTTTGGGTTCGCAATTGTGTCACTTGGAAGTGTCCCTTTTTGCTTCGGATTTTGTTCCCTTGAGAGGTCTCTCATTTGCATTTCCAATTTTTGAATGGATTCAGTATGAGAGCCAACAAGCTCGGTCATATTCCTCATAGACGTGTCGGACTTCTCTTGATTTTGTAATACCCGTTCAAGCATGCTTTCCAACTTGGAATCACTCGATGAACCTTGATTTGAATATCGACCCTTTGGGGGAACATAAGGATTTGAACTCCGATTTGCGAAGTTGTTGTTGTTATTCCAATTTCCTTGATTTGAGCCATCTTGGTCATTTTGCCATTGTTGGTTGCCTTGCCCTTGCGGGTTAGGCCTCCATTGATTTTGTTGTCCTTGACCTTGGTATTGTTGCCTTTGATACCCTCCTTGAGAGTTGTTGATGTAGTTTGCTTCCTCAAAATCTTCATTTGATGTGGGTTGCACATCCTCCACCACATTCACCTTCTTTGTTTGGCTTTCCGTGAACATTTTTGTCAACACATTGACATTTGTGGCAAGCCCTGCGATTATTTGATCTCTCTCTTGATTCTCCTTAATCAGGTTGGTCAAGGAAGGCGAACCATATGCAATTCCACCTGTGGTATCCTCAGAGTGCCAAGCTTGATTATGTTTTGCCATTTTGTCAAGTACTTGTGTGACCCTTGCGAATGATTTGTCCATAAAAGATCCGTCAGCTGCATTCTGCGCTATAGATTGGTTCATAAGATCCAAACCTATGTAAAATTTCTCCAACAAAATAGAGTTCAGAAAACCATGATTGGGAGACCTCACCAAATATAATTTGAATCGATCCCATGCCTCATGTAGATGTTCCCCCGGCTGTTGCTTGAAGAAGAAAATTTTATCCCCAAGTTCAGATTTCTTGCTCTGTGGGAACCATTTAGCTAAAAATGCTCGGACAAGTTCAGGCCAAGAACGGATGGAATTTGGTGGCAAGTTTTGGAGCCACCTCCTTGCGTCTCCAGCTAGTGAGTACTTGAACACCCTCAACCTTAGGGCATCATCTGAGACATTGTTCTGCTTATGCATAGCACATACTCCCAAGAAGTTCCTAAGGTGTTGTGTTGGATCATCATCAGTGGAATTCCTGAAAAACCCCTCCGCTTTGAGCATTAGGATTAGACCATGTTCCACTTTGAAAGTTGAAGCACCAACAACCGGAGATACAATAGCATTTGTATTCTCTATGTACTCATCGATGTCCGCAAAAGGATTTTCATCCACTTCTTCCTCGTAGTCTGACATGTCTTCCTATCAACACCAAGCAAAACAAGCGAAGGGTGATGGAAGAGAATAAGACGTAAAGTAAAGCACACACTAATTAGTAATTTCAAAACCGTATTCCCCGGCAACGGCGCCAAAATTTGATACGCTCAAATTACGCTTTAATAAATAGGGTAAGATGGTCGGTGTCAAATATAATAACCCAACAAGGTTGGGGTCGAATCCCACAGGGAATAGGTGTGAAAAGCTACTTGATTAGTGTGTCACTCGACTTAAGTCGTAATTCTATCTGGTTAACTGTAACAAGAATATGGTGTAATTGTGATTTGAAGAAATAACTAATGTTGAGATTTAGAATGTAATTAATTGGATTAAAGAGACCAAGGTTGTGTCCCCTTCAATGAAATGTAATGTTACCGGTGTTAATATGATATATTTCTAATGGAAGGTCCTTTTGATGTGCAAATGATTTCTAAATGACTGCCAATATTTTCCAATAGTTGGGTAGTATTTACTCTTTATAATTTTTCCAAATATAAAAGAGTTGCAATTAAGAACAATCAATATATGCCAAATAAAACCCACTTATTCCTAAGCGATTCTATTAAACAAGAGTTAACGCCTTGAGTCTTTGATATTTGCTTCTACCAAATTCCAACCCACTTTCCCAAGCAAAGTAAGAATTTAATGGCACTTGTTAATGTTTGCAACCTCCAACAATAAATGAAGAATGAGAAGTAAATAAACATCAACCAACCATTATATATATATTCAATGGTAAACACCCATTAACATTACACCCATTTAGGATCCACAACCTTAGTATTTAACGTTAGCTACTCATACTAAAATACAAAATGAAGATAATATTTAATGCCATAAAGCTTACAAGGTGAAAGATTCTTCAACCAAAAGCTTCCGAAAGTGAAGAATATTAAAGGCTTGTATTGTAGCTCCCCAAAATAAGACCAGATGCCCCCATAAAACCCCAATAAATCTATTTATAGTGGGCCAAAATTCGGGGCAAAATGTTGGCACTTGTTAATGTTTGCAACCACCAACAACAAATGAAGAATGAGAAGTAAATAAACATCAACCAACCATTATATATATATTCAATGGTAAACACCCATTAACATTACACCCATTTAGGGTCCACAACCTTAGTATTTAAAGTTAGCTACTCATACTAAAATACAA